TTGTTTTTTCTTCTTTTTTTTTTTTAAATATACTTCTTTTTAGACCTTTTGCTGCCTCTGCGCTATATGGGATGCCACAGGAAGTCTCAGTTGCATGCTTTAGAATGAGGATTGCTTAGGTCTTTTTTTGTGATCAAATCCAGGAGTTTAACAGCTCGCAAGCTTAGCAACTGGGGCTGTGGGACTGGAGCCACAGGCCAATGCTATTTTGGGGTCAAAATGGGACTTCTAAATAAGCCTACGGGAGTGCTCAGGGAGATGCAGACTCTCTGTCCATAAGCAATCCCTGTTTGTGGCAGATGGTATGTATTCCTCATACAGGTGTTGCTCCATTTCAAGGTGACTGCAAGGTTTGGTCCAGCTCAGAGGAACAGCTGGATCATTTCTTGCACACATGGCTTAAATAAACCAATTATTTAAGGGAAAGAGGAAAGGGGCTGGTGCAGGGACAGTAATTTCTTTTTCCCTACTGTCACTCCAGGGCAGAGTGTAGAGGCAGGCATATGTCATAGAGGTTAATAGGTCTCCACACACTGGCCCCGTCCTTAATTGCCATTTTTAGGAAGGAGTTGGTGGAAAGTACCTTGTCTCCTTGACATTAATCATGTGGAGTCACAACTAAGGCAGGCAAGAAAACCTGTATGAGCTGAGGGGGGGCACAGGAAAGTTGCACTGAGGCTGTCTGGGGCTTTTCTTTCCCACAGCTTGCCCTGAACCTGCCCCAAAGTGTGCCCTGAGGGACAAACAAACCTGCCAGGGGCAAGCCCCAAGCAGGCAGCTCACTGCTGCCTCCATCACTGCCCTCCCATATTTGGTTTCATTCTGAATAATTCCCTTCCACCTTTCCTCTAAGAAGCTCCAGGTTTGACTGCAAAAAGCCAGGACAGTGGTGGGGTGGCTTTGGACTGGCCATGGCGTGTCCTCCCAGACTGGCAGCAGCACAGATGGGAGCTTCCCAGCAGCTCAGCTCAGCAGTTTTATGGAGGCAGCACAAGCAGCTTTCCCTCTGCCTCACCCTGAATTTAATGCGTGCTAAGCACTGACTATACTGCTAAGTGAGAATTCAGAAGACAAAGCAGAGTATTAACACAACAGTTCAGGTTTTCAGTTTTGTTCTTGTGCACCTTCCAAATTTCTGTGTCCATTCCACCCCTCTGCCACACATAGATACTTAACTTTGGTTCTGTGCAGGTGGAAGAGCTTAATCTTCTTGTGCAGGCTGGGAAGGGGAAGGGGAAGAGCAGAAACAAGACTAAAGTGTAGAAAGGACATTTTCCATGCATGTCATCCCTAGCAAAGGAGTGCAGCAGAGCTGGCAGAGATCTCTAAGTGACATCTTTGTGTGTCAGAATGTCTTTTTTAAACGAACACCAATGAAGAACGCTTATTCATATTGAAAGAAAATTCAGAAGAATGTGCAGAATGTAAAAATAGAAACTACTTTAAAGGTTGACAGTTAAAGTTGTATTTCTCTTAGGTGTTGCTTAGTTTTCCTTTGGTTTTTTTACTTCTCATGTCTAGCTGCTTTTTCTTTCCTTTTTCTTTTTCTTGCCTTCCCCACACAACGCCCAACTTATAATTTTGTCTTCATAGTAAGGAATTCAAAAACTAGGCAAGAAAAAAATAAAAAGGGCAGAACTAAAAAATATTTTAGGAAGATTTTGAAAATCAGCCAGCTCATTTCAAACTGCAGATTGAAAGCTATTTATAAAATCCCAACTCTTTTCCTATTCTCCCTCCTTCTCCTCAAATGTGTGGAAGTCAAGCTGGTGGTTGCATGCAACTGTTTCCATCTACCGCTAAGGCTACACTTGCAGCTCCACAGCAGTGCTTGCTTGTAGTCATATTTTTAAGTGTGTGTAGTTTCACTTTTACTGCATGAATCATGTCCGCAAGGAACTTCAAAAATGCCCTTCCGTCATCAGTGCTCCGATCTGCACTGTCACAATCAGAAACAGGTTTAATCTGGTGCCAACTTCTCAGCCGTAAGAAACACTGGTACCTCTGGAGACAGAAGCAGATCGAGCACAGCCATTGGAATGTTCCTGTGCTCGCCACCTCATCCCTTCACTTTACATTGGCTGAAAAGTTTGTAAACTTGACTCCTTGCAGGAAAGTCCAAGGCACTTTTCAGAGCCCTTGTAGCCAGTTGCCGGAGTTTCATTTCAGTCATTTCAGGCCAGGAGCCAAATGAAAGTTCTCTGCCTTGGTTTCATGAGGAACTGTTAACTCATTGACTCTGAGCCCGGACTAGTGATGAAACACACCATGGCTCCTCCTCTTTGCTTTATTAGCATGGGGAAAATCTTCAGCATATAATCGTGTCTATGCTCCTCTGCGGCAATAAGGACCTCAGGAACTGTGGCAGAGACTTTCTCAGCTGTGGTGCTGTTGCATCCTCACCTCTAGCTGTCTTGAGAATAAGCCTCATGGAATCACCAAACCTGCTGGAGAATGGAAATATTCCACAGCAAAGGAAATTCTCATGCTGTCAAGTGGCTTTTTATACCTTAATATTTGTTTTGATTATGATTTCAGCCCTGGTTTCTATAGTCTTCTGTTTGCTCCATCATAAGCAGGTAAGGGCTAAGCAAAATTCCTAACTCTGGAGTATACAACACACATATTATTCCTAATGATTAACAATGTTGTGTTAATGCTATCAACTAACTGCTATCAACTAACTAATCTAGTCATTCTTTCTCTTTTGGAGACAGCTAACACTTTTCATTTCTAAGATTTCAGCTGATAATATTTCCATCAATTCCTTGGGGAAATCTCTTCGGCATTTTGCTTTCATTTCTATAAGCTTTTTAAAAAAAATCCATTTTTATTTCTCTTCTGTTTCCTCTCCTGTGCCAATAACATACGCTGTCCTAATGTGATATCAACTCATGATGCTTTGTAAGGACAGGAGAGGATGAGGCATGAAGCCTTCTCACTCTTGATTTTACCAAGTACTAATATGATATATCCCAAGTAACAGTTACTGAGTCAAGTTGTCTTCTGCATTTTATCAGCTGATTTTAATGGGCTATTTTCTGCGTCTGTATGTATGGTAATGAACAGAAATACAAGGGTCATCCAAGTGACTAATTTGCTGAAGGTCAGGGGTTTATTTTCTGGTTTCCAAACTGTGCCTCAGTCTTCTGAAGGATTCAAGTACTAGTTTAGGAGGCTGGTTTACATACCCTGCTGTGATGTAGCTCCCTCCAGTTCCAGTTCTGAGGGGGAAGAGGACAAGGAAAAAGTCCCCTTCTGTTAAGAGGCAGGATGGCTCGTTCTCACAGTCTGCCAGCTTCTTGTGGCACAATGATACCAGGAACTCCTCTGAGGACTGATCCTAAAAGGTACTGATTGTTCTTGTAAAATATAAAAACTGCTAAATTCCCACAAGAGAGGAGCCCACTCTGCACCTTACAGCATTATCATTTAGCAAACAATATATAAAAATATTTTTTAAACTGCTTTGGTACTTTTAACCCCACTCTCACAGGCTTCCTCATCTATTTGGGAGCTGAGAAGCAGCAGCTCTGTGACCTGCAGTCACAACTGCACCCCTTCCAGTGGCAGTGAGCACATGGATGCACGCAGCATTTCATGCATATTCCACTTCTCCCCCTTTTTTTTTCATACTGCAGACAGTTACTTTAGTAAGTGAAGGAACTGCCTTCAGTCCTGTTGATTCATATTAATTGGAGAAAGTGGGACCGGGTAATAAAAGCCTTCCTCTACAAGGGAGCCGACAACCTCCCCAGCACTCAGGACAGCAACTTCCTAAGGAACAGATGAGGTTGTGCTTCAATAGCTATTTTGAGCATTTCAGAGCTTGCATTTATTAAGATGTGAGACAGAGTTGGGTCCCTGTGTCTATAAGCTGATCCCAAGCCTGCTTTTTATGGTCTTTGGCCAGAGAGAGAACATAGCTGCTGTGTAGGAAGAGCATGACCTCCATAAGCAAACACTGAGCTATGAGTCACAGGAATAGACTGAAATCTCTTGCCGCTGACAGTTTACTACTTAGTCACCCACAGAGCCACCTCCTTCCCTTGGCTGAAAGAGCACTGAAAAACTACCCTAACTAGTGGATCAGAAAGCACTGTGCCTGTCACCCTGAGCTAAGCATGGTGTAGCAGTTAAAGAGAAGTAGGTTTAAAAGTCAGAAGCTGTTCTCCCTGTTCTGCTTATCAGGTGTGACCTTGAGGGCATCTCTTCAGCCCTCCATGTTTCCTTCTTCCTCCTTGCATAGGGGCTACAAAGCCCAAGAGTGACTCCAAAAAAGAGGTGACTGCACGCCTTCATGGCTCTCAGAGCACGGAAAAGCGGCATGTGTGAGTTGTGGTTCACAGCTACTGCATGGTTCTGCCATGCACCGAATCAGCACTAAATGATTTCAAACTATGATGCACGGGGGAAAGGTTCGTGGTTTTGTGAGGGTGAATTAGCACAACGCTGTGCAGCTCCCCATGTGTATGTACTGGCTTTAAGTCGTCCTTGTCCACAGAGACATCACATGTGACAGTCCATGAGAGCCAAGTCCAGGGATGACGTGAAAGTCCTGCCACCAAGAGGAGCGTAGATCTCCTTCTAGACACTACTGATGGTTGCCTTTTTTATTTTGTGAAAATAGCACCAAAATGTATATGAAAATTGCTCATCTCTTCTAAACATTTCAAACTTTGCTGGGAAACAGATGTTTTCTCATAACAAATCATTGCTTCCATTTGTTTGTAATTATGGATAAAAAGGTTATTTCCCTTCCTGGGAGAATGCTTTTGTGCTCTTGTAGTGATAATGCTTCCCTGTTGAGTTCACTGATAGATGGAAAACACTGCAGCAGAAAACACTGACCAAGCACTGCTTCTTTCCACAGACACCAGAGTTGTGCTGGGCACATGGATCTTGTAAGTATGGAGATGCTAGACGTGCTTTCTGTTTTGTCAGATTGTGCTGTAACAAAGATGACTGTCTCACGGCCCTCATACCTGGTTACAACTGCTCTGAGGACAGATGTAAGTTCTGACCACAGAAATACAGAGCCCATGAGGCACTGTGGCCACAGCAAATAGAGCTCCCCAGCTCTGCACCCAGGGCTGTCAGCCAGCAACTCCCTCTCTCTGCCAGAAGTGCACCTCTCTGAAAGTGGCCAGTAAAATAGCATCACAAAGGTCAGATTTATTGCTGCTAAGTGTTACTCATCAGTTCCCTAAGCTCAGCCTAGGGAAGTCCTAAACTAATGCCCCATATACCAGCTGAGAGAGATTTCATTAAATCAATTAAAAACTTCTGCATGGATAAGACTTCAGCTAATGACTGCTAACTGTGTAAGACCCTAACCAGCCAGGAATGCCCCGAGGTAGACACGGAAGGTACCTACCAGCACTGTGGCCTGAGCTGGGTGTAACTGTTAAATGGTATTTGATCCATTCTGCCTTGAGACCCCACTGCATTACGTACCGCAGGCAGACATGCACTCACGGCATGCACAGTCTAACACTGCTGTGCATTGCTGCCTCCTTACCCAGCCTGTCTGTGCGCACAGCAAGGGCTATGACAGCTGCCACCCATTGTTAGCTTTAATGCTGACAGCAGGTGTTCATCCAGTGCAGAGAGAGAGTGGGGAGATCTGGGAAGATTCTGCAGGCTCAGCTCTTGTGAAGAACTATAGCCCCAGCAGCCCGTGAGCAGAGGTAACCACCCTCATCATCTTCAGATCTGGCTGAAGTTCTACCCATTAATTTTTCTTATTAGACCCCAGCTCAGACCCAGCCCTCAGCCTTGAAGCTTCCCCATCTCCAGGGTGCATTCAGCAGCTAACCTGTCCTGGCAGGGAGGCCCTCCAAGACACCCATGGCCATGGGGGTCCTACACAGCCTCTCTTGTCAGATTGAGAACCCTTCCTAGCACTTCTGAGGAAACCCAACAATAATAACAACAACAATATATTATTATTATTATTATTATTATTATTATTATTATTATTATTATTATTATTATTATTATTATTATTAATTTTTAAAAGTCAGAAAGGTAATGGAGAGTGAGATGTACCAACGGGGAACAGGCTCATTGTGACATGAGTCACAAATGCTCAGGTACAGAACAAGGTTGTCCTTAAACATAATTAATCTTCATACCCATTTTTTCTATGTTTTCCTCAGTCAAAGAGCCTTCTACATCAAACTTCCAAGATGCCATGAGCTGGGAGTGGAACTTACAGCACTGCGATGGATTTGTGCAGAAGGACCATGACCAGTACCTCATAATCGAGCAGAGTGGCAACTACTTCATCTATGCTCAGGTCAACCGCAAACAAAATATGAACAAGTCTTTTACAGTGATGTTGTACAAAGAGCCATCCATCCTCCTCAACAAGGTTGTGGGATCAAATATAGGAGATGGAAAGGGCACATTAAATTTTGGGAGACCCTTTTTCCTGCAGAAGGGAGATAAGCTGTACTGTCAGGGGAATTTTCATCTTGACTATATTGTGTCAGGGAATCAGACTTATTGGGGCCTGTATAAAATATAGCAGGATTCTGCTATGAGCCAGCTCCTCCCTTATTCCCTCCAGGAAACCTTAGGGCATGGATGAAGAGTCTGTAATTTCTCTTTGTATGAAATTCAGCTTGCTGGAGTACATGCCATAGCAGGCTGGTATCCTGCAGTGACAGAGTAAGGTGTAAAACAAAGTGAATAGCAAACTGTGGCAATAATTGATGATACCGGATCATCATGAAGTATAAGAGAAATATGCTTCTGAGAGGAAAAGTTCTTGATGCATTACGGGGTTGACTCTGAGATCCTGGAAAAACAAGTCACTATATTCAGTCTGTTCTGAGCTCGGGAGGAGCTCTGCTGTGCAGCAGGTTGCATTTTAGAGCTGGGTACATGTCAGTACCTTGGGTCTCTTCTAACAAAAGGTGCTATGTAAAGCTAAGGTATTCTATATCCTTCCTGCACAACCTGCCCGTGAAATGACATGTCTAGAGCAGAGGGACAAAATAGTTCAGAAACAGTCTGTGATGAAAGGAAAACTTCTCAGCCCCATCCACAGCCTTGCCACTAGCAAGGTAAACACCATGTAGGAGCTTCCCCAAGGAAGCTTCACCTTCATGGGCAGTTCAGAGCACAAGGACCTTTCCAGTCAAGAACAAACAGTGCTGCAACTTTGTGAATTCATATCAGCTCCCTGCAATGGTCCAGACACACGCACCACAGTAAGCTTGCGGATCCAGCCCATGCAGCTGCTTTCCATCCAGCTGCCATAAAGGATCCGTTGCTGCTGGCTGAGTATCATGGAAACGCAATGAAAGTTGCTGTATGTAAGTAGAGATTGTGGAGAAGACATAATGATAGAAAGATGCATATGAGAAGAGTGGGCACAGACTGCAAGGCAGAGGATTGAGTGCTGGAGAACTGTTCACCGCATTTTTTACTCTTCTGTGTAGTGGGTGTTACAAGCAGGGCAAGGCAGAGTAGACACAGACCTGATGTGAAATGGGGAAGGGTTGAGCATCCATCCCTACCACTTCCCCCCTACAGGCACAGCTTTGTTATCCAGCACAAAGCATAAGCTGTGGCAGTACTGCATCATGGAGGTGGGAAACATGAGCTACCAGCAGAGCAGAACACCCTTCACCTGCTTGGGGAAACAGCAGGTACTGAGATGCTGCTTGCTTCAAGGCCTTGGCTATCTGCGGTGCTTCCTGGGATGAGCACTGAAGCACCTGCAGATCACAGGAAGGTCTCAAGACCTCAGCAAAGGGAAAGTGCTCTTGGAAAATCAGGCTGCTGCAGCTGCACAACAGCCCAGCTGCCCTATGGCATGGTTCCTCTCCCTTGCCTGGGCAGTCTCTTCCAGGGGCTCTGTGCTTTGCTTTCCTGCCACTTGGACCTTCATGGGTGAAAACTCCTCTACCAGTCCTCAGAGCATGTCACAGCCTTGCGGATGGATTTTCATGGGAAAACAGAGCAACTGAGAAGCTGGCTGGAAATAAATAGTGAGTTGGGGTGGGTTGGGGCAGTTAGGGGTGCTATTTGCTCTTATAATTTTATTTTCTATGTATTGTAACTCTACAGAACCAAGAGTCAACTTTTTGCAGAGACATCTGCAGTCTTGTGTTTTGTTTCATACAAGATGTTACCAATTAAAATGTTACTCTTGTTCTTCCTTTGCTTTGTTCCTTTAGTTTAAAATTAAAAAAATCTTACAAACTGCAAGTGTATCTCACTTTGATAAAAACCAGGAAGATAACTGACTGACTCATTTCTCTACCCTTCATCTACTTTCACTCTGCGTCTTCTGCTCTGAGGGGTTGGCGGTATCAGCACAGAGTAGGATTGAGTTGCACAGTCCTGGAGCAGTGCAATACTTGCTCCTCTTCCCAGCTCACAGGGGAGCTGCATGCAGCCCAGCCCCATGGGGATGGGGAAGAGGGGGGATGTCTGTACCTAGGGCAGCCTGCACACCAGAGGACATTAAGCCTTGATGCATGCAGGAAAAGTAACAGGCAGGAGAGACAAGCAAAAAGGGTTCAGCATTTGGCAGAAGCTGCTGTGTGAAGACACACAGCACTACACTCCCCAGTCACATTCTGAGACACAAAACAAGGCCAAAAGGGTCTACTGGGGATGAAGGGCTCCTTGTTCCACATGTCAGACCAGCAAAATCCCAGATCCTGCAACACCCTGGCCTAAAGATCTGGCTCCAAGACCCAGGCACCCAAAGCAGGAGTGGAAGCAGAAGACACACGTGGAAAGGCCACTAAAGTGAAACTGCCTGGAGTCCTCCTTGCTCCATGGGATGTTTTCAACATGCCCACCAGAAGGTCACTCAGAGCAGCAGTGATGGATGGTAACAACAGTGCTTCCCATGGCTTCTTATGCAAGCTGTGGGGCCTCCCATCCCTGCCTTGCCTTTCTATTCTGAAATAAATAGGAAAATCTGTCTTTCTCTCGAGTCAGGCTTTGCCCATGACATGCCTATAAAGCTCTTCACACAGTGCTACTGACATTTAATGGGGCCAGTATCATGAATGTCAAGAAATAGTAAGAGTGCTCCAGCCCTTTCTCTTCAACCTGCCAGTGACCAAACTGTTCAAATTCCTTGAAAATGTAAATGTGTCTCCTTGCCTTGCCCCTGGGATCTGGAAATGCATAGCAGACCTAAAAGACAAAGTTCCTCAAATGCGTTGGGTTGGAAATCCTGCCTCTCTGAAAACTATTACACAGAATTATCAAATAAATGCAGTGTCAAAAAGTCATCTACATTTTTTTTTTTTTTTTTTTACATTTTTGAAATGATCACTTGCCACTTGGAGAGAGTTTTCACTGAGATGTGGGGTTATGAAAAAGTAGTATATTTCTCTGTGCCATGATGCCTTTTAATTATATGTGCTTTCTAATCTACAAGAAGCGTGATTTAAAGGAGAGTGAATGCATCATGAGATCGACTCTATAAATAGCTAGTCATGTGCCTTTAACCAGGAAAAAAACGCGCTTTTAAAAAAATCTTTTTTTTTAATTTACGGGACTTGGGGAGTTTCTGCTTTCCCAGAAGCTTAGCACACTGCACAGCCCCCCACAGGACAAGAGATGTAAATGGTCCTTGAAGTACAAGTTCTATGTTTTTAGAAATTAGCCAAAATGTGGACCTGTAAAAGGAATAATCAGATTTAAAAAAAAAAATAATACTTGAATACAAGTAACCACAATATATTCAGCAGTTTTTCTGTTCAACAAACAGCCACAAGCCACCTATCATCACCACATTTTGGTACACTACACTGTCCATAGTCAATAGAGGTTGCCTATTATTTTTCCAGCATGATTTGAAAATTTAATTCAGACTTCCAGGCAAAAAGTGCCACAAAGCACATCAAAACCAGCATGGCCTTTCCTCTAAGTAGGCACGAAGACACTTCTGATGATGTTGCACAGACACACATTGTTTAGAACACCATTACAGGGGCTTCTCAGGCTGCTCTGAAAGTCACTGCTGAGCCTGGCCAGTCACATGGAGCAGCCAGCAGACCTTGGGGCAAAGCAGTCCCAGATTTGAATTGCCCAAAGATGCAGTGGTTTCCGCCTAAGTTGCTGATGTGTTGAGAGCATCCTATGTCCAGAGCCATCATTGCCTTTCTGAGGACAGGTCAGTGACACAACATGCAGCAGTAATGCCTGAAAACCTGCCTCAGCACAGCTCCCACACACTCTCTGCTCATACTGGTATGTGCTGTGCATTAAGGGTTTTTTTGTCCCCACTTCTGTCATCCAGAACCCTGTTCTGAAGATGAATTACACATTGCATAGTGCCAACTGCATGCGTCTCAAAAATAAGGTAAGTTTTCCGATCAGTGAAATGAGTGGATGATGCTGTCCTCTCTTCACAAACAGGGAGACCAGTCATAGAGGAAAGGTAAATGACAACCTTCAATTTACGTTGCTTGAAGCAAGCTTACCTAAAGACCTGATTTTTCAGAGTAGCTTCTATTGTATAAGCAGAACTATCATTAATTTTGATTGTAACTTCCAGTGCTCAAGACTTCTGCAAATCAGCCCAATGAGGTAACACAGCTTAGGAGGTTGGAGCTAATAAGCACTTTGGTCCTAGTTGGAGGATGGCTACCTAAGTAGAGTGCTCTAAAAAGCCTTTCCTCTGGACAACATAACCTGGGCAAGAATGAACTGTGCCAATGGAAATTTTCCAGGGCAAAGATTCAGCCTGGCACAAAAAGCAGGCACTGGCAATTTCAGCTCTAAAGGTGACTGTATGGGAAGTTCAAAACTGCTGAAAACAGTCTGCCAAGAAAACCAGTAGAGAAGTATTTCTGGTATTCCTATCCCTGCAGCAACAACTGCTTTTACAGTCATATTTCCCATAAATCGTCTTGGTGAGACAGTCTTGTGGTGGTCTTACCCTTCTTGTTTCCCAACTGGGTGGAGATTTAATGGTGCAATCCAAAAGGCTTTAGGCACCAGGCTTCTGGTGACAAGTCACACACCCCAGCTGAGGTGCAGCACTCTGGTTTCCTGCTCTCTTCTCCCAAGTTAGGGAAGGGTTTGCATCATGCCCAGCTTCAGCTCCCAGGCACACTAAAGGCTGCCCCACCATGTGAAGTGACACTAGCAGATGCCTTGGGAGGAATCACACCCCATCCACATCCAGGTTTCTGTGTGCTCTTAGAGACCTGATTTCAGTCATCCACACGCTGGGCACTTCACTTCCACACGTAGAAAAAGACAGCCTGTGTCATCACAGATTTTAGCCTAATAAGCAAAATATATCTTAGAGGGGAAGAAAGTATTATCAGCACTTTAGAGATAGGGAAGAAAGCACAGCAAGATGATGGTATCTCCTCAGGGTCATCAGAAGTCCAGACAAGAAGAGATGAGAATTGATCATGGGACTCAGGGGAATGTATTAACCAGGAGCACTCAGGAAATAAACCCAGAAAGTGCCTCATCTAGATTCAAGTCTCAATTATTAATTTATTCTTTTGAAGAAAATAATATAATACATTCACAATATCCCAGAAGTGGACAAAAAATCTTCCAAATGCCAGAAATGTGACTGTGGTGCAGAGACAGTGGCATTAACAGGCTGGCCACCACAATGCTCATCCACTGCTTCCTTTGGTCTTGTTGGACACCTGCCTGTGCTATGGATCCCTTTGGCAAGCTGAGAAGCAGAAACCCATTTTTGCTTAAGGTCTTTTGAAAGAAGATTTTGTCCTGAATAGCCCTCCTAGAATAAGTTTGGCAAATCCCACCTTTCATCTCATTTTGATGAAAGAACAGAACAGCATTTTTTTCCTTTGACATACAACATTATTCTGTGGAAAAGAAATTCCGATTTCATGCCATCCCAAAACAAAAAGATCCCAACAGGACCTCAGATCTCAGTGCCCTCAGAGCAGTCACTGGGTACTGCTAGCATAGGCTTTACACACAACACAGAAAGCACACTTGCTTTTGGACTTTGTGACAAACAGCACAAGGGCTCAGCCACTGAGTGCTGTTGGAGAAACTGCCTCATGGCATGGCCATGCTGCTACAGAAGACATTTGCTGATATGGGCCAGCACCCTGCTTACCCCTCTGGCAAACCTCTGAAGAAGTAGAAAGGATTTGGAAGCAACATGTATCTTTGCAAAGTAAACAATTCACAGAAGAGCCACTAAAGGGAAGTCACAGGGGTATGACTCACTCCTGGTATAAAATCACAAAATATTTTGTTACATGATAGCTGTGTTGGGTTTGTGTGTGGTGGGGTTATGGTAGTGGGGGAGGGGCTACAGAGGTGGCCCCTGTGAGAAGCTTCTCGGAGCTCCCCCAGCTCCAAGTTGGACTTGACTTTGGCCAAGGCCAAGCCAGTTAGTGATGGTGGCTGCACCTCTGTGGTATTTAAGGGGAACCTGAGAGGAGGACGAAGAGTGAGGGAGATACCTCTGCAAACACTGAGGTCAACTGAAGAAAGGAGGAGGAGGGGGAGATGTGCCAGAGCAGAAACCCCCCTGCAGCCCGTGGTGAGGGGGCAGGCTGTACCCCTGCACCCACAGAGGCCACCAGTGGAGCAGATGCACCTGCAGCCCGCGGAGGGCCCCACGCCAGAGCAGGGGCTGCACCCAAAGAAGGCCGGGACTCTGAGGGAAGCCCATGCTGGGGCAGTCCATCACTGGGAGGACTGCAGCCCATGGGAAGGACCCACTCTGGAGCAGTTCATGAAGAGCTGCTGCCCTGTGGAAAGGTCTCACATCAGAGAAGTTCATGGAGGACTGTCTCCCCTGAGAGGGACCCCACACTGGAGCAGGGGAAGAGTGTGAGGAGTTCTCCCCCTGAGGATGAAGGAGGAGCAGAGACAACGGGTGATGAATGGACTGCAACCCCCATCCCCTGGCCCCTGCACTGCTGTGGGGTAGGAGGTAGAGAAATCGGGAGCAAATCTGAGCCCAGGAAGAAGGGAGGAGTGGAGGGAAGGTATTTTTAAAGGTGTTCTTGTATTTCTCACTGTTCTACTCCATTTACTTAATAAATTAGTGGTGGTGGTGTTCAAATTACATTGACGTTCTCTCTCCCCCAAGTTGAGTCTGTTTTTTGCCCATAACCATAACGTGTGAGTCATCCCTCCCTGTCCTTGTATCGATCCCTGAGACTTGTATTTTATTTTCTCCTCCCCGTCCCATGCGGGAGAAAGTGTGAGCAAGCAGCTGCATGGTGCTCAATTGCCCTCTGGGTCAATACCATAAGAGGTGACAATAGCATAAGAGATGAGAGCTGGGTGCTGTTTCATCCCTACAGTCCCAAGCTCACTTCTTGCTAGCTCCACCCTTGTGGATTCCCTGGCACTCGTCTTTCCTACTGGAAGGCTCTGGGTCATCTCAAGCCCTTCAAACATTTCCAACCTGAAATTAAGTCTGACTGGTTGATGCCCTGTTCTCTATGTACAAGGCTTTTGCTTCCACTGCTCCTTTCCCTCCCTCATCTTAACTCTCCTGCAATGCTGACAGCTCATGGCCACCTCTCCTCAAACAGTGCCACAAAACTTTAATCATGAGCATTGCCCATGGCTTTCCCACAGCACCAGATACCAGAAATGCAGGTTTCAGTTAAAGGGCTTATCTTTTCCTGAGAGGTTTTGGAGGAAAAGTGAAAAAATAAAAAGAAACTGAAGGTATCAGAAAGTTCCAAGATAACAGAAATTAAGCATTTTAATTCTGTTAATCTTCAGATTTTACAACTGTTTTCACAATACTTGAGGTCTGAGTCAAAATTTTTTAATATTTGAGGCTAGCAATAATGGAAGATCAAGTAAACCTTATATGAAAAAAAATTACTAACAATCAGAGCTGTGTGGCAACCATCATGGCATTGCCAGCAAGCCATAGTTTGCTTAAGTGTTATGCCCTGTGGACCGTGTTATGAGATTTAACTTAGGAAAACCTCTACAAATTTTTAAGATGCATGGAAGAAGTGTTGAATGACATGGTGGGGAGGAATACAAGAAGTTCCAATTTGGGGCATTTTTGTGCTCATCTCAGCAGTCCATGAACTTATAGAGAAGGTCTTGTTTCATTTTCATGACTGGAATTTGTGTGAAATTCCTCCAAATGCGAGTCAGAACTGTACAGCCAGAGCTGAATGCTAGGAAGAGCTTTCAAATTCCATATCTAAAGCTGATCCCTGAGCTTGCAGCTCAAAGCCAGGATGATTAATATCACTGGCTTTTGATGACCAACAGGTTCAAATTTTAAAAATGTTTTCAGATGAAGTTAATTGTATGTAAAGCCCTTCTCCTGAAGGGTCATTTGCCTTTAAAGGCAAAATTTCTCTCCAATATCAAGAGTATCCAATATATCTTCCCATAGGAAAGAGAGGGACCCTCCCTCCTAGACATTCCCTTCACATACAGCAAGTCTACACCCATGATAAGTGAAGTGAAACAGGGACAGGTACTCTCTGATATGAGAGAGACCAAACACCTGAGCAGCCTCTGAGCTGTAAGTCAACAAAAGGCTTTTGAATGGACAAGGAAGCAAACCATACACCAGTGAACACTGACAGGCCTCCACAATCCTTATTTATAAAGTTAGGCAGGTTTCTTTGGGTACTGAAGTCTTTAATTTGAGGAAGAGTCAGAGCAGGTACAGGGCAGCTCTTCAAACACTGCTTTTCTGCTGGTCTCTAATGCAACTCATCTTTGCAGCTTTTCTTTCTTCCTTCATTAGCCAGATCAGGGCCATAAGCAGAAACGCAGCTCACAGCAGCTGATGAGCTAACCTTTCATTTAAGCATCTGCATAAACCGCACAGTTGAAATTTAGGTATGTGTCTGAGTCCTTTTCTGAAAAGGGACTACAGGAAAACTAGTGGGCATGGAAAGCGGAGATGATTTTGTAACAGTAAGTCTTGTTTGGCACAACTCTTTTAAAGAAAAATCTGGAAAATCTCATAGTACATGACAAGGAACTAGAGATGGCTGAATCCTTTCCCCTTTGAGCATGGGGAAAGCTATGGACTATGGCAACTGCAGCTTGGATCTCCTCTTTCTTTCAATATTTGCTTTTCAGAAGAAGGGATAGTAACTCAAAATGTACTTCCTATGTATTGCCAGTATTTACAGCCCTCACTGGATGGATACAGTCACACAGCTTAATAAGCAGTGAGATGAAATATAAATAAATATAAATATAATTCTATAAATCTGGATTTTGTGCTTCGATTATCTACTGTTGAAACAGATACAGCTCTGAGAGAAGGAAGTTTTTCCAGAATTTGGATCTTGCACTGTCTCATGTGGTGGGGTTCAACCGCTCTCTGATCTATCTTGTACTAGTCAGCCGATCCATATCAAAACTGTAGTAATTCCCCTTTCCTATTTAGCTGATATTAGCTGTGAAAAATAGGTCGAGGGGTTAGTGTGGGTACAGAGGATACACAGGTGCATGCAGAGAAACAGCCCGATCTCAGAATCTTCCTGACCATAAAGAGTTAACCTCAAGTAGCTTTTTCACATAACTGGTGCTGAAATCTTTTCTGTAAGTTTGACAGTTTTATAGTCTTTATTCTTAGCATATGTGGCTATTGATCTAACGTTCCTCTTTATATGGGAAAGATGACAATTTATAGTAACTTAGTCTTCACATAGGCCATAAAGAAACCCATCACAAGAGCAAACATTTGGTGGTCTAGAACAACATTTACCCAAATCTATTATTCAGCCACATGCTTTATGATGAACTCTTCTGTTTTGGTTTTTGGTATGGGATTTTCTTTTGCTGTTCAGGCAAAACTGTATGGTAGACTGAAGTGAAAATAACTATTTTCATACTATATAGGTCAGAATAACCTCTCAAGACAATGGCAGACAAAATAGATGAAATCTTTGCAACATTTAGGAAGCATGCACTGGATCACCTATCAGTTGGAGCAGGAAATTATCTGTCTATTGCTAAACATAATGCTCTGTGAATCCTGCATTACATTCTGAAGACTGATGAACATTAATATAATAGCAATGTTCACTTCAATTTCAGAATTAATTAATTTTGTTGCTCTGTATCTGCAGCAAAAACCCTGCAAGGAATTGTCATCTTGCCCCTCTAGAGAAGCTCTGTGTGGCTGGGAAGACTTCAAATGACCTGCAGTCACTCTGTTTCAGCCCTGCTGCTCACAATCATATTCTCCCATACTTATATTCCCTTTGTATTCATACATTAATATGTGTCCTATCTACCTTAACAATGTCTCAATCCCATGCCATGGAGCTGCTCTGTGTTACTCTCCTTTGTCCCAGAGCCACCAGAACAACTGCTCAGTTTACTGATGGACACACCAGAGATGGATCCAGAGAAGCCAGCTAACAGCCAGCTTCACTTTCCTTTCACTGCAGAGAATTGTCTAGACAAGAATCTAAGCCAGAAATCAGACTGGGGCTAAGAACCGAAACCCCTCTGTAATGAGCTTTTCCTGCTACTGGATCTTGTTTCTCTCCTACCTGCTGGACCTCAGTGCTGTATATGGGATGCTGTGATATTGCCTGGCAGTGGTGGGAGGTACCCAGGAGATCACCGTAAAAAGGCTTGCATCCTCTCTGGAAGGACCCGACCAACATTCATGGGTAAGAAACCTTGCTTTGATTCTCATCCCTCATTTTGGGTGTTCCACAAAGAATGTGCTTAGATGAAGCTGTTACATCAGACAACAGAGGTACAAGCCATTAGAGGAGCCTTGAAATAAACTCAGTCCTGCTTATTCCCTCTTTTGGATGGAGCATCTACCTCCAAGATGGGCCAATACCAACATAAGATCAGCAGAGACAATAAAACCACTTTGACAAAGCACCAAAAAAAGACTACCCTAGGGAGCATGCCTACAGCAGAATTTGATCCAAATCACTATAGATTTTGTTTATTATGGACATGAAAATGCTACCAGGTGCCACATGTTTTCAAGACTTCCAGGTTCCAAATATTAGGATATGCAAACCCTGCTGGGCTGGAGCTAGCCAGGTACAGACCTCAACCCTGACACACAGCTGGGCTACTGAGAAGGAAAGAGATGATATCAAGGAATCAGAATATACCAGGCTGGCTTATAAAATCACTTACCAGCAGTATAAGCAAAAACTTGCTTTCACTGTTAATGAAAAGATATAAGGAAATATTTTCCCAGCTGTCAACATGCTTATATGTATACTTTTTATCAGAGAATCATAGAATGGTTGGGGTTGGAAGGGATCTTAAAGCTCATCCAGTCCTAACGCCCCTGCCATGGGCAGGGACACCTTCCACTAGCCCAGGTTGCCCAAAGCCCGGTCCAACCTGGCCTTGGACACTGCCAGGGAGGGGGCAGCCACAGCTTCTCTGGGCAACCTGTGCCAGTGTCTCACCACCCTCACAGGAAAGAATTTCTGCCTCATATCTAATATAAATCTACCCTCTTTCAGTTTAAAACCTTATCCCTCATCCCATCCCTACACCCCCTGATAGAGTCCCTTCCCTTCTCTCCTGTAGCCCCCTTCAAGTACTGGAAAGCTGCTATAAGGTCTCCCCAGAGCCTTCTCTCTAGGCTAAACAACCTCAACTCTCTCAGCCTGTCCTCACAGGGGAAGTGCTCCAGCCCCTGATCATCCTCGTGGTCTCCTCTGGACCCACTCAAGCAGGTTTGTGTCCTTCTGATATTTGGGGCCCCAGAGCTGGACACTGGTGGGGTCTCATAAGAGCAGAGTAGAGGAGGAGAAACACCTCTCTCAACCTGATGGCCACAGTCCTCCTGATGCAGCCCAGAATACCGTTGCCTTTTTGGGCTGCAAGCAGACATTGCTGGCTCATAGTCAGTTTTCCATCCACTACTACTCCCAAGTTCTTCTCCACAGGTCTGGTCTCAACCACTCCTCGTCCAGCCTGTATTTATTCTTGGGATTGCCCCAACCCATGTGCAGGACCTTGCACTTGGCCTTGTTGAACTTCACAAGGTTCACATGGACCCACCTCTCCAGCCTGTCCAGGTCTCTCTGGATAACATCCCTTCCCTCCAGCATGTTGACCACACCACACAGCTTGGTGTCATTGGTGAACTTGCTGAGAGTGCCTCAATCCCACTGTCCATGTCGCCAACAAAGATGTTAAACAGTGCCAATCCCAAAACCAGCTCCTGAGGAATGCCACTCATCACTGATCTCCACTTAGACATGGACCAGTTGACCACAACTGCTCCATGATCTTGCCAGGCACAGAGGTGAGACTGACTGGTCTGTAGTTTCCCAGGTCTTCCTTTTTTCCCCTTTTTAAAAAAGGAGGTTGTGTTTCCCCTTTTCCAGTCAGCAGGAATTCACCAGACTGCCACGACTTCTCAAATGTGATGGAGTGGCTTAGCCACTTCATACTAGTTCCCTCAGGACCCACAGATGCATCTCATCAGGTCCCACGGACCTGTGCACCTTCAAGTTCCTTAGATGGTCTCAAACCTGATCTTCTCTTACAGTGGGTGGTTCTTCCTTCTCCCAGTCCCTGCCTTTGCCCTTTGTGTCTTGGGTGGTGTGGATGGAGTCCTTGTCAGAGAAGACTAAGGCAAAAAAGTCATTGAGTACCTCAGCTGTCCCTATATCCTGGGTAACCAAGTCTCCCATTTCTTTCTGGAGAGCACCCACATTTTCCCTAGTCTATTTTAAAAATATTATTTTCATTTATGTGCTGAAATTCAGATGGTTGCACAACAGCCTTGGCTTTGAAAACACAAGCCCAGTTTTATTATTTGGTGGGGAAATTCAAATAAACAGTTTATCTTTAACTGTTTATCATAACTCTTCCATAAGTGGAGGAGACCAAGGACATAAAACCAATACAGCAACATCTCCTGCTTAATTATCTGGCCTTTTAATATGTGGGGGCTGAGGACACCGTCTTGCCTTTAGCAATTATTATCCTAAGCTTTGTGTTGACAGTGGATGTGGAGAACTTTAATATGAGCAAGGTTTTAAGTATGCCTCTGAGGACAAACATTTGAATAATTTTTTACTATTAACTATTAAAGAATAGTTTAATTGTTCCTGTTAATTAGCTGAGCAAATAAACTAAGTAAAAATGTGGTTCAGATTACTTTGATGTTATTTCCTGCAATCCTATTGGAGTCCTGCAGCCTTGCATGCACCCCAAAACACAGGACAATGGAGCGGTGCTGGCTCTGTCTGGATGAACTCAGACAGATGCTATTAACATAAGATCAGAACTGAGACCCAGGAGACATTTCTTCAAAGAGTGCTCAGAAAATTACTATTCTATTACTTGAATTTATCTGCATACTTCATCTTAGTTTTACCTGTTGGGTGAGCAGGTAGTTGAGGTCTCACTCAGTTAGGACTACCTGCTCACTTGGCTACTTATGGCACTGGTGGGGCAGTTCCTGATGTGCCTGGAGGGAGCCTGCTTTGTGTGCAGCCTTTCTCTTGCATAGTACACATGAAGTCACTTGGTTACTTTACCATTAGCTGTTTATTAGTGCAATTTAATTGAAGGGGCCTACAGCACATGGCACTGCATAAACATGAACTCCCTGCTCCAAATTGCTCGCAAGCTGAACTGCTCCAAGTACAGAAAATGGGAATTCACATTCCAACTAGTAGAGAAACAAAGCATAAAGTGGTTAAGTGATTACCATGTGTCCTGGTTCAGCTAGGATAGGGTTAAGTTTCCCCAGCAGTGGGAAGGGAGCTCCAGACGGGTTATTCAATACCATGCTGAAGTCAGGTCCGGTGCGGCAGCACGGGAACCGTTCTTTGTTGCTTTTGTCCCTGAGAGCATGTGCAACAAGACTGCTGTGTCTCTTGCGGTATATCTCTGTATATCCTTTGTCCTGTTTACTGTTATTACTGTTTATTGTTGTTGTTATTGCTATTGCTGTTGTTGGGTTTATTATTTGTTACACTGTTGTATTAAATTTTTCCTTATCTCAACTCCGGGGTTTGTATCTCACTCCCTGCCCTGTCTGGTCCGAGGGTGGGAGAGGGACAACGGCAGCATGGTCTTGGGTCTTGGCAGGGCCTAAACCAGCACACCCTTTTTGGCGCCCAACGTGGGGCTCGATTGGGTTGAGATAAGGATCAGAAAAGGACAGACGCTGACCAGAGTGTTAGAGAAATCTGTTAGGTGCAATTTTTCTGTTTTCATTTGTATTGTTTGATAAGAAATATTTGCAATGCTGGCCCACTTGCTTGCATGGTGGGGCTGGATTAATCCTTAAATCCACTGTGTGTTCCTAGTGCTGGTGTTTGTTGTTGGTGGAAAATGTATAAAGGGACTTGTTTTGTTATACCAGCTACTGACTGCTTATAATGCCTTTGTATCGCTGTTTGTGGGGGCAGGCCGGTACCTGTTTGCTGCCTGGGCTTTTGTTAGGGGTCTCACCCCATCTATGGGTGAGCCAGAGGAAGAGATCCTCTCGTTTTTTGAGAGTTTTAACTATCCTTGGATCATCCAGGTCGGTATGTTTGCGGCACAATGCTTTCTGGGTGTCTGCCAGATCTTGTTTTGGGCCAGGCGGCACTTTTCTAACAATAGCAGTGCCCGGAAACCTGCCCCGAGGTCAGATAATAGTGAGTGGCAGGAAAAGATGGGCAAGTACCTGAGTCAGTGGTCACCCCCAATGTTTTGGAATTTCTCTCCCGAACAAGTGCAGAGTCCTGATAAACTGGTGGAATGCTTAGAAAAGGTGTGTTGCCAATTTAACAGATCCCAGGAGACACAACTCACAACAGTGTTCTGGGGACTTGCCCATGCCTATCATGTCCTCCTTAATACTACTCACTGCCCTCAATGGGGAGAAAGGGCTGCAGGATCTGAAAGTGAACTTACTGGTACAGCAGCTGGGCCAGGGGAACAGGCAGAGTCAGTATCAGCTGCCTCCATCAGCACGGCAGCTGAGCCAGAGAGACAGCCAGTGCTGGCATCAGTTGCTCTGATACAGAAAACCAAATATACCAGAAAGTTAGCTTGCAAAGTGGGGGATGGGGATGAGCCAGGCCCAGCACGGGAACAGGAAGAAGGGCCAGAGGTGATCGTCCGATCTCTATCCCCGACTGAGCTGCGAGACATGCGGAGAGATTTCGGCCGCCTGGGAGGCGAGCAGATTTGCACCTGGCTGCTCCGATGCTGGGACAATGGAGCCAGTGCTTTTGAAATGGAGGGGACAGAGGCCAAGCAGCTGGGATCTTTGGCCAAGGATGCTGGCATTGATAGGGAAATAGGGAAACAGGCTCAAACCCTCAGCCTTTGGAAGCGACTCCTGCTCAGTGTAAGGGAGAGGCACTCCTACAAGGATGTTATCCTATGTCAGTTAAGCAAGTGGACCAACATGGAGAAAGGCATCCAGAATCTCAGGGAACTGGCTGTGTTTGATATGATTCATGGTGATCTGAATGATGAGTGGTCACCCATGGACCCGGCAACACTTGACATTGCAAAAGTTCCTGAAGAGCGCACCAGAAGCACACTCGAAAGCATTGGCAATAGCGTCCCGGTGGACAGACACCCACACTCTAACAGTGGATGGAGTGGTTGGCAAGCTCTGTCAATATGAGGGAAATCTCCCTTCATCTTCAGCATTCCTAGGTTTCAGCTGTAAAGGAGCTGTCTCAGAAGCTCCAGGAAATGAAAGAGGACATGTCTTACATTCCACCTGCACGGGCTGATGTCTCAGCCACTAGAAGTAGACGCTTCTCCACCCAGGAGAAGGACAGTAGAAGGTACACACCATGGGGCACCCTGTGGTTTTTCCTCTGAGACCATGGAGAAAACATGAGGAAGTGGGATGGATAGCCCACTGCCGCCCTAGCTGCACAAGTAGAGCAGCTGAAAGGGAAGACCGTCATGAAAGGGGAGTAATCCAAGAAGAGCGCAGCTCCAGTGTCCAGTCGGAAATCCCCCGGACAGAATAGAATGGCCAACGTTATGTCTGACCCTCTTGAGGGGACCAGTAAATCATTCTTACAAGAAGTGAGTGATGATGAGCAGGATTAGAGGGTCCCTGCCTCCAGCCAGGTGGAGGAAAGGGATAATCGGATTTAGTGGACAGTGTGGATCCGATGGCCTGGCACGTCAGACCCACAGAAGTACAAGGCTTTGGTGGACACTGGCGCACAGTGCACCCTGATGCCATCGAGCTACTGTGGGGTTGAATCCATCTGCATCTCCGGAGTGACAGGGGGATCCCAACAGCTGACCCTACTGGAAGCTGAAGTGAGCCTGACTGGGAAGGACTGGCATAAGCACCCCATTGTGACTGGCCCAGATGCCCCGTGCATCCTGGGCATAGACTATCTCAGGAGAGGGTACTTCAAAGACTCAAAAGGGTACCGGTGGGCTTTTGGTGTAGCTGCCCTGGAGGAGGATGAACAGTTGTCCACCTTACCCGGCCTCTCAGAGGATCCCTCAGTGGTGGGGCGGCTTAAGGTTGAGGAGCAGCGAGTGCCAATTGCTACCAGGACGGTGCACCGGAGGCAGTACCGCACCAACCGAGATTCCCCAGTCCCCATCCATCAGCTGATCCGTCAACTAGAAAGCCAGAAAGTGATCAGCAAAACTCATTCACCCTTCAACAGCCCTATATGGCCAGTGAGAAAGCCTAATGGCGAATGGAGGCTAACTGTGGACTACCGTGGCCTGAATGAAACGCCAGCAATGAGTGCTGCAGTGCCCGACGTGCTGGAGCTCCAGTATGAACTGGAGTCGAAGGCAGCCAAGTGGTACGCCACGATTGACATTGCTAACGCGTTCTTCTTCATTCCAATAGCACCAGAGTGCAGGCCACAGTTTGCGTTCACTTGGAGAGGCCTCCAGTACACCTGGAATCGATTGCCCCAGGGGTGGAACCACAGCTCCACCATTTGCCACAGACTGGTCCATACTGCACTGGAGAAAGGTGGGGCTCCAGAACACCTGCAGTACATTGATGACATCATTGTATGGGGGGACACAGCCAAGGAGGTCTTTGAAAAAGGGAAGAAGATAATTGAAATCCTCCTGAAGGCCAGCTTTGCCATTAAGCAAAAGAAAGTTAAGGGGCCTGCAAGGGAAATTCAATTCCTAGGGATAAAATGGCAAGATGGGAATCACCACATCCCAATAGAGGTAATAAACAAGATAACAGCCGTGGCCCCACCAACCACTAAAAAAGAGACTCAGCCTTTCCTGGGTGCTGTGGGGTTCTGGAGGATGCACATCCCGACCTACAGCCTGATTGTGAGCCCTCTCTACCATCTAACCCGTAAGAAGAACGGTTTTGAATGGGGCCCTGAGCAACAACAATCCTTTGGACAAATTAAGCAAGAGATTGCCCAAGCAGTAGCCCTCGGGCCAGTCTGGGAAGGGCAGGAGGTTAAGAACATGCTCTACACCGCAGCCGGGGAGAATGGCCCTACCTGGAGCCTCTGGCAGAGAGCACCTGGGGAGACCCGAGGCCGACCTCTGGGCTTTTGGAGCCGGGGATACAAAGGCTCTGAAGCTAATGACACACCAACTGAGAAGGAGATACTGGCAGCGTACAAAGGAGTTTGGGCTGCCTCAGAAGTGGTCGGCACTGAAACACAGCTCCTCCTGGCACCCCGACTGCTGGTGCTGGGGTGGATGTTCAAAGGAAAGGCCTCGTCCACGCATCATGCAACAGATGCCACATGGAGTAAATGGGTTGTGTTGATAACACAACGGGCTCGAATAGGGAACCCCAGCCACTCAGGGATACTAGAGGTGATTATGAACTGGCCAGAGAGCAAAGATTCCGGGATGTCACCAGAACAGGAGGTGACACGTGCTAAGGAGGCCCCACCATATAACGGGCTGCCGGATGAGGAGAAGCGATATGCCCTCTTCACTGATGGGTCTTGTCGCATTGTGGGAAAACATTGATGATGGAAGGCTGCTGTATGGAGTCCCACACAACGGGTCACTGAAGCTGCTGAGGGACAGGGTGAATCGAGCCAGTTCGTAGAGGTGAAAGCTGTTCAGCTTGCTTTGGATATTGCAGAGTGGGAAAAGTGGCCGAGGCTCTATCTCTACACTGACTCGTGGATGGTGGCGAATGCCCTGTGGAAATGGTTGCAACAATGGAAACAGAGCAACTGGCAACGTAAGGGTAAAACCATCTGGGCTGCTGAAGTATGGCAGGACATTGCAGCCCATGTGGAAAACCTCATTGTGAAGGTGTGCCATGTGGATGCCCATGTACCCAAGAGTCGGGCCACTGATGAACATCGACACAACCACCAGGCAGACCAAGCTGCTAAGATTAGAGTGGCTCAGGTGGACTTGGACTGGCAGCGCAAAGGTGAACTGTTCATAGCCCCGTGGGCCTATGAGACCTCGGGCCACCGAGGTAGAGATACACAATACAGGTGGGCTCGAGATCGAGGGGTGGACCTCACCATTGACACCATCGCAGAGATCATCCACGGATGTGAGACGTGTGCTGCAATCAAACAAGACAAGTGGGTGAAGTCCCAGCGGAATGGAGAGCGATGGCTAAAATACAGATATGGAGAGGCCTGGCAGATCAACTACATCACACTGCCACAGACCCGCCAAAGGAAGCGCCACGTGCTCACAATGGTGGAAGTAACCACTGGATATCTGGATACTTACCCAGTGCCCCACACCACTGCCCAGAACACCATCCTGGGCCTTGAAACCCAACTCCTGTGGCGACATGGCACCCCAGAGAGAACTGAGTCAGACAACAACCTCATAAACGCTTGGGCAGAAGAACACGGCATCGAGTGGGTCTACCATATCCCCTACCATGCACCAGCCTCTGGGAAGACTGAGCGCTACAATGGACTGTTAAAAACCACATTGAAAGCACTGGGAGGCGGGACCTTCAAAGACTTGCATCTAGCAAAGGCCACCTGGTTAGTCAACACAAGAGTATCTGCCAATCAAGCTGGCCCAGCTCAGTCAAAACTTCCACGTGTCATAGATGGGGATAAAGTCCCTGTGGTGCACATGAGGAATGTGTTGGGGAAAATGGTCTGGGGTAGTCCTTCATCAGGCCAAAGCAAACCCATCCATGGGATTGCTTTGCCTCAAGGACCTGGGTGCATCTGGTGGTTGATACAGGATGATGGAGAGGTCCGATGCGTACCACAGGGGGACTTGATTTGGGGTGAGAACACACCGTGAATTATATTGTGCTCTTGTTAATTGTTGTTTTGTTACTGCTAACTGCTAAATGGCAGCTGGAAATGACGCAGATGGTTGGTATAGAATAAAGGGGTAGATTATGTCCTGGTTCAGCTAGGATAGGGTTAAGTTCCCCCAGCAGTGGGAAGGGAGCTCCAGACGGGTTATTCAATACTATGCTGAAGTCAGGTCAGGTGGCAGCACAGGAACCGTTTCTTTGTTGCTTTTGTCCCTGAGAGCATGTGCAACAGGACTGCTGTGTCTCTTGCGGTATATCTCTGTATATCTTTTGTCCTGTTTACTGTTATTACTGTTTATTGTTGTTGTTATTGCTATTGCCTAAATCACCATATCATGAGATCAGATGAGCCTGGGACAGATCTGGGATTATAGTACATCTACCTTGATTTCTGAACCAGGACTTTAACATTATGATGATGGCTTTTCACCCTCTGTCCACCTTCCCCTCAAAGATCTGGGTAACATGATTCTTTATCTTGCTTGTTTGGAGATGGAGAAAAATATGGGGATGTGCAAAGAACATGGATGTCCAATTTCCAGGAGTAGCCAGTGTG